AGCAGTTAAAATCAGATTTATCTTTTACGAAAAAGATTGAAGACGTGACAAACTTCTGATAATACGGGTTATGTACGACAAAGACTAATAGGAAGTTTCTAAAGCTATCCGACTTAAGAAACACTAACGTTGCTAAGTGACTGATGCACCCCTCGGGGCTAACCGACATCAAAACCACATTTAGACACTTGTTGAAATCAACTTTAACTTGTTTCTATATATATCATTCCAATGTTTGACTGTGTTTCTTACGCTTACGCATTCATGGTGAATGGATGAATCTTTGGCTAACTTAAAATTTTTGTTTCTACATTTACTTAATTTATTATTGACATAGAATTTGGGGATAAATAAGGAGTAATGTAACTTCTTAAGTTTGACCAGAACTCATTGAAGCACTCATGGGTATTGGGTATGCCACTGATTTTCTATCCATAAAAAAACCACCTTCGAAGTTGGCAATACCACTGAAAAGTCTGTAGGTGAAAGAAAAAAAATTACTGGCTTAAAATAAATCATGGCCTAGAGCCAACATAATTATAAAATAAAAAAAGCAAACATCATTGATTTTTCCGGCTATTTTGGTTTCTAATATAGGGATTAACGTATTCTTAACTAACCAAATTACTTTTCCAAGTTATCAAAGTTAGTTGCATACTATTTATAGACTGGCATTTGAAACCATTTGTTTGTGTAATTGTTGTTTGAAAAGTACGAGTCACAAGGTCATTATAATCCGATTAACTTGTAGAAACAGAGTTTAGTTCAGCTATTGAAGTGAAATTTCATCTCTGTAACTATCATAGTAATAACTTGCTGTCATTATGGCAATTAAGCTGGCCTCTAACTAGAGTGGGCGGTTCCGAATATGCTAACAAAGCATTTTGGTATCTACATGCATAATTTCATTAAACTACGAGGTCAATAGATTGTCTATTCTGACAAATCTTTGAACTAGAGGCAAAGATTTTCTTCAATAGTGATTCAGTAAATATTTAGGTAATTGAATAGTCATATTCACTAACCACAATTGAAAAGCATACCTGTAGCGTATTAGACAACGCATTGCGGCCTTTTAGGCCTACTAAATTCCAGCACGTCTTCAAAGAATACATAAAACATGTGGAATCGGCATATTATCAAATTATATCTTACCTGGATTTTCTGAGGCGACATCAGCACCTTAATTCTCACGACAGAAGATAAGTGTACAGAATTCCAAACAATATTCCTAATTTTCTTCTTAATTTTGCAAAATTAAGAAGGTAATTTTATCAACCTTACTCACTTTAGTTATACTCAAACAATCAACCAGTGGGTAGAGCGGCCGCACGGTTTCCTCACTTACCGTCTGGTGCAGGTATTATCTGGGCACGGTTGTTTCGGATCGTACCTGCATCGAATCGGGAGAGAGGAGACCCCGTCGTGCCACAAGTGTGGCGCGGCAGCGGACACGGTGGAGCACACCCTCGCAGTCTGTCCAGGCTGGGAGGAGCAGCGCCGTGTCCTTTGTGCGGTGGTTGGCCAGGACCTCTCGCTTCCGACTATGGTTACCGCTATGCTCGGTGGCGACGAAGCCTGGGAGGCCGTTGCCTCTTTCTGTGAAGATGTCATTTCGCAGAAGGAGGCGGCGGAGCGGGAACGCGAGGACGACCCCTCTGCACCCCCGCTTCGCAGACGGAGGAGGGGAGTTAGAAGGCGGTTGTATGACCGTTCGCTTCTTCCTCCCCTTGGTGGTGGCCAGCAGGCTGGAGACGCGGGGGCGCCTCCTCCTGCATTGCACAGGCTACCACCGCCGTCGGACGGGATTGGCCTCGTGGTCCCGGCTAATCCTGTCGGCCCCCCACTAGGTGGGGGCGTGTTGGGTCCCGCCGTGTAGGGCGGGACGTCCGCGGAAGGCGCCTTGGTCGTTTCTAGTACCCAAGGCGCCGACCAATATGCGGCAGAGGGAACACCCCAGGTTTTTAGTGGGTTCGAGCCCCACATAACCTGCCGTCCCCCGGCGGTAGGTATGGATAGGCCATTTTCCTGGGTAAAAAAAAAAAAAAAAGTTATACTCAAACAATGAATTTAAAAAAACAACACTACGAAAACTCCTCCTGTGTTGCAAGAGTCAAAAAATGGGGATGAAAGCTAACCAGGCTTAGGGTAATTCCAGGATACATGCCCCAGTGGGATAGGTGCCGCGATTTTAAGTACACTATGTTACAAGCAACTTAGCCTAAAGTTATAGTACGTATACTAGAAAGGGACCTCCCCGTACCACTTTTCGCCTCGCAAACCATCAAAGAGTGCGTTCGTTTAGCCAATGAGAGCAAAAATCTTCCGCGGCCAAACCTAAGTGAGCGTCGAAATAAAATTGGTAAGTATCTTTTAATGGATAATTTTTTTGTCAGCTGTAAATTGAAGCAGATTTTTATATAATTTGATAGACTATCTTATAAATTAGACGGGATAGCTATGTTTAATTCGATTTTTAGTTTTATTATTTTTTTTATTAAAAAAGGCACCTATCCTATGCTAAAAGGATAGTTGCCTAATTTTTTTTGGGTATAGATGCCCTTAGGGCCCTGTCCCATGCATCTAGGGGCATCTATCCTAACCTGCTCTTTTTGTCACAAGTAGCAAGTAAGAAGAAAAAAAGAATGTAGTACGGCTAACCTTAGGAAAGTAATAAATAGGGTGCCCTTCTGATCGAATTACCTTTTTACCCGACTGCGCTAGAAGGAGGGTTATGTTTTTCGGGTGGATGTACTGTACTATTTTTAATAAAAAATATTAAATTTAATTTTTAATTCATTTAATAACAAACAATCTTAATTAATAATCTTGGCTTGTTTGATTTGAAAATGCATTTGATCCTTAGAATTCAAAAACTGTATTAACGAGTCATCTATCCCTGCATCAGGCATCTATCCTTTGAAGCAATCATACAGTGAGTCTTCTATCCCCCACATTAGGCGTCTATCCCACTTTTTAGAGGTCAATTAAAATGGTATTTACTCAGAATCGGTATAACTTAAACTAAAATAATTATAGTAATATCATAGACGAAAGACCAAAGTTTACAGATACTAAGGTCAAATTGTGGATAAAAACATACTGACTGAGTTACAGAGCTGTTTCAAAAAGTAGGGCATCTATCCTGGACTTACCCTATTACTGAACACACTTTTTTTTAATTTAAAGTTACTTATATTACCTTTTTCTAAACCATTTTCTACATTTTTTTAGTTTGATAGAACATTAACCTAACTTAAGATGTAGCTCGACCTCTCCTGGACGGAGACCACTGCTTGAGGGCAATTACCAGCTAGACTGAACAGAAACAGCGCAAGAAATAGAGTCGCATGGACCTATGTACTTTAATGATGACCTAATAACTGTAACTAAAGTAGATCTTATATAGGTCTCAATTTAAAAAGATCCTTTACTAACGCATCACAAAACTAGCTCCACCTTACATTAGGATCATTATTTGCTTGGTTACACTGTAGAGGAATTCCTGCAGCTACATTTTTATCCTAAATGGCGTTATAATATATGGTGCACGTTTCTTTGGTCCCAGGGCACAAAAGGCAAGTGCTATTGAACGGGGGAATGCAAGCCTCGTTCTGGGCACCTTGCCACACGAACGCGAATTTTCCGAGTTACATCCTACCTATTTGTACACGCATAGATATTTTCTTTATTTCTAAGCGTTTCGTTCCGCTTTTGAGCTAATGTATTTCTGATTTCGTTCTACATTTACTTCGAAGCTTTAGCTCTTAGTTTTTTTTGTTGCACATGCAAGTTGTAGCTGGGGTTTTGAATTTTCTTGATGTGACGGTTTTCGTGACTAAGTTTTTTAGATCTAGTGTAACAAAATCTGTATGCTGAATGTTTGAAACTTGTAACTTAATATTGAATAATAAAAAAATACCCGCTACATCGATATACACCCTGTATATTACAGCCGTTCGGACTCTGAGCCGTTGCGGGTCGCCAGTCCGTTGTATAATGTCCTTAGTCGCATACATTCCCACACAATTGCAATTGACAGATCCTTTGAGTATCAAACAAGTGGATGGGAATCTAATTACATAGCCATGTTTATTCAATTACGATATCCTTTGCAAATGACAGTACATATTTAATTACTGGGAAAATAAAAAACCATTTCAGTCAAAAATTATTTATTTTTTACGGAAAGCGACAGTGGTCCGCATACAACTGTTAGTTGACACTAAAATATACAAACAATTTATTCATACGCACAGCTTTTATTTATTTATTAAAATAAACGTAAACTACAAATTGCACTATTTATTACCCGATATTCAATCGCATTTACATATTTTTTCTTATTAAGCAGATTACTTAAAAATAATGATATGGAAATATATTTAACAATATCTTTAAAAAATATAGAAGAACGTTCCAGGAAGCATAGCTAGGATTATCAAAAATAATGTATAGGGACTTAACATAGCTTTTCCATTATCGTGTTTAAGTGAATGAAATCTCGTGAAGAGAATCTTTAGTCAAAATAATAATACTGTAGAGTAGACAACATGGAATAAAGAGCAGTAGGACCTTGATATGTTACTTCTTTTAAGGATTTTGGTGGTCGCCTGGCCTGGTGGTTAGCGTCAACTGTGGTAACAGATTTGAATTCCGCAGGTAGCGAATGTTTGTGATGAACACTAGCATTCAATTGTATAGGTACCCATGGAGTCATTAGTTCATAGTACCTACTTCTACATTGTACAAGTTCTGTCTAGTTTGGGACTAGGTATTTGGATCAATTTATTTATTATTACAGATTTAGTCGTGTGTTTGCACTTTTATACTTGAGGACTTGCACATCAAGCTTAACACGGTGGCAGCTTGCGTAGTTATAATAAGCGCGATTTTCCCACAAAAATGAGTAGCCGGATGTGCTTCCGAATGTACGAAGCTAGTTTAATGTTGATAGTTCATAATAGTAAGAACTCATGGTTCCCTCATCATATTGCTTCTGTAATTGACAATTTCTGATGGGTTCGACTTAGACCTACACAGAAACAATAATGTAATTAATTAAGCATTCATAACACTAACTTTTCTTTTAGCCGTAATATTTACAAGCATTTACATGAAACTCAGTCTATATTTATTAATACTTTTAATTTAGTCTAAATAATATCTACAATTTAAATTACTACAGTAACTTTGGTAAATTTACATTTATTCGAGATCTAGTAGATATGTTGCGTCAGTTATTATACAAAATTTTGACTAGTTTTGACCAAACGTTTACCGCTACACATTATTTATTTAATCAAGTAACAATATTTTAATTTACTTTCGTAATTCTATAATAATTTTCTATGTTTTCAGTACTATGTTATCTTTTACATCCCACACTGAAACCTCGCAAACTTTATGATAATATTATGAAAATATAATTTAACGAATTTATACCATCCTGACTCGTTCAGTGTTTTAATCTCACGTAATGTTTTATTAAAACGACTTTATAATATTTACTCGTCGCAATAAAATTAAACCTATAGCTCTTTTACTAGTAAATATATCGATTCATCGAACTTAAAATACATCGTGTAAATAATAGACGGGAATTAAAAATATATGTTCCAGTCTGAGACCAACATCAAAGCGTCGTTTTCAGAGGTGATTGTACAGGGAGGTGTAATTAATTCATTTTCTTAGTTGCTCAAAGCAAAACATCAGCCCGAGATGTTGCTATCTTGATTAAAATGACTAATGAGTACAAAAATCCGTTACAGAGATGATCCTTGGAGCCCGCTCCGTTGTAATCTTGTAACCTGAAATCTGAAAACATTTTGTTAATTACTTGTGAGTTTTTTGCTCGAAGCAAAATACAAAGGCAACAGGTAATTTTTCAGATAACTTTGTTACGAATGATATACAGGATTTATACGCACAAAAGGTTTGAAATTATAATCTGATACGAATGCCTTTAACGACATTTTAATTTGGAGTGAATTTCTTTCCCGTCTCATATCCCCTTACTGGCTCAAATCCCGTTATACTTTTCTGCCACTTTCCGCAGTTCTACACCGGTTTTGAGCTTACACGCGACGTCTTTATGCCCTTGAAAATGGTACCAATCCAAAAAAATATCTCAGACAAACTCGTTACTTATTTTTCTCAAACATTATTTTCATAACTGACTTAATAGCTTCTTCCAATGGCACAAACTCAGAATAGATGACATGTACGTGATCCGTTAAGAAGAAATATCAAATCTTAAAGTTAACACGCACCTTGTGTACCGAATGGAGTACTTTGCGATGATTTGTCAGCCATCACGTTCATCCTCTGAACAACTGTCAAGAATAAGGTTTTATTGAAAAATTTCAACACTAAATTACATTACTTCCGAAACAAGTACTAGAACTATAATGGAACTCACCGTTTTTGTTTTCCAAGGCTGGTGGTGACATTGCTGAAATAAAACAACATTGTTGAGACTAGTGTCTTAAGTAAAGTTTTCTAATAACAATAGTAACTTGGTTATTATTTTTTGCTTGAACATGCGATAGAGACTTTGCTTCATGAAGTAAATAGGTATATTCGGAGGTAGAACCTTAGTTAAAACGTACCTATCTAGATTTAATTAATACATTTTATGAACTTCACGAAAACATAGAAGTTGAACCCATAAATTACTGAATACCCTTAATATCTACGTGGCTACATATTTCCGACCCATTTTTAAAACCAGAGATACCTAACTCGTTAACAATTTACGAGTATTATACAGAGTCCCCTTGAAATCTGTATAAGTATTTCTTTATTTTAAATTCGGTAATTTATATTAGATTGGTTTTACTGAAGCATTTTGACTCACGGTATAGTTTGATGGTGCCCTCGGTGTCACCCAGCGAGTTTTTGGAGACGCACTTGTAGGCGCCGTAGTCCGTAGTGGTGATCCTGCGGATGGCCAGCCGCAGCATGGAACGGTACGAGCTGTCCACCTTCTGCGGCTCGAGACCGCCTCCTGGACAAAAGGGGGCAATAACTTAACATAAATTTTACAGCTAAAACTACTATCTCTCTCTCTCTCTCGTCGGTCAAAGGAAGTTGTAAGAAAGAAAAACACCTAGCTGATTTACTATCGAGTATACCTACAAAACATAGCAACTCTAAAAGCTATGTTTAAAGGTACTAATGCACAGCTACATGAAATACGTGACAACGCAGGATTGTAGGTGAAACGTACTTTGGACGTAGGAAAAGCCACAAATAAACCATGAAATATAATCTGCTCCACGCAAATGTTTAAGTTACTTTGTTTGAAAATACCGGTATAATTTATTGATGGGATTTAGACATTGTAACAGATATACTTTTACTTGTAAGTATCTATGCTTATATTATTAACACTGATTCTAAATTACACCACAGCTCGGAGGAGTCAATATCTTGTAGCCTTATCAATTTAGTTACAAGTTAACTAGCTAACTAACTTACCTAGATCTAATTAAATGAAAGTACCGTAGAGTCGTATGACTTTGACCCAATATTCAGCAATATTTTCATTTTCACCTAACAGTTGAAAGGGGTTTGCCTATATTTTTATTTTATTAAATTAGTTGTATCATTGGGGATATAAGGAAACTATACACACAAATATTTGGTAGCCATATAAAGGATTTAGTATATATTTTTTTTGTCAAACTTTGGGTCAAAGTCATCCTAGGGCTTGCGTTACTTTGGCCTGCTTATTTTCTTGTTCTAAAATCGAAAGATTGTGGTTGCTGGGACAAACTCAGCCCCAAAAAATATTATCTATTGGTGAAAAATTACAAAACCACATAAAATAGAGTAATTTTTTTTATTTTAAGTTAAATATTTTTACATTTTTATACTTAAGTCGTCTGATTCTTCGCTAACATCAACAGCATTGCTCACTTTAAGATGTTGATCAGCTAGAACTTTTTTTGGGGTCATGTCCATTCTTCGTTTCATTTGTGATTCGTCTTCAAACTCGACGTCATCATCAGGTAATTCTTGAGTAGACGAGACTTTGCTCATCCAAGAGCTACAACTTGTAGTAGAATGACGGCTCTGTTGTCGTCGTTTCTTAGTCTTGGCGAGTGGTTTTAGCATCAAGCCTGATGAAGTTGCTTCTGCAATGTCTGCTGCACTAATTGACTGGCCAGCAGGGATGTTCAGTTTCTTTTTTTTAGCGATGTTTTGAACTGGGCTGCTTTCGTTTCGTGCTTGCTCCAACTTTTGAATAAAGGTCCCTGTGATTAAGACTAAAGTCTCCTGTAACGATGGAACGAAGAAAAAAACATAAAATACATTATAATATACACCCATGGGTCACTTTTTCCCATGGGCCAAAGTGAAACAAAATCTCATTAAAATTCTGACCATGTCACTTTTTAGCAATATCACAAAAATAGTTCAATTTTTTGATAAAAAAAATACGATGCCGAGGGTCACAGACATAAGTATCACACTTTCAATCAAATATTTAGAAAGAAACTCACCTGAATTAATAGTTACACACGAAAGTTTGCACCACAAAAATTTGCTCCAAAAACAAATGGTTCAAAAGCAACAAAATTAACCAATCAGAGAAAAGACCACAAGCTCGAAACACTGTTTTACCGGCAGCTTGTGCTGCATCTATTGATTTTTACGCGTACTTTTTCGAAACAGACTGTAGGAGAGGTGTGGCGCGAATTTTAAACTTTAACCAATTTAGGGCCAAAGTCATCCCCTAGGGCTTAAGTCATACGACTTTACGGTACCTATACTTATTATTAAGAACAAAGTGCTCCAAGTCTCCCCTTGCTCAAACTAGAAGACCAAAAATAAAAATCCCTAAATTAAATCAGATGCTCACGTCAATTAGTCCCAATACTATCAGTAGCCCGCAATGACATGCCCAATGATGTCCTGATAAGTTTGACAATAACACCGACCCGCATAGGACGATAAACATCTGCATAGTCCTCTGAGGAATCACTAATCGCAGCAAAAGACTAAAATAATGTCACTCACTTTCACTTTGTATCGATTGAATGAACATTTTCTAAGCATTAAGTACGTGTGTGGCAATATCTGATAATAAATGTTTTCAATTCAATATATTTTTCAATAATTCAGAACAAAAATGCTAGACATAAGTATTTACTATTTATATAATAGTAGAGATATAAATTACAAAGAAATTACAGAGAAAATGGGAAAAGCGCGAATTATTTTGAGGCCAGAGAAACTGGGACATTACTTTGCACCTGAAATGGACGTAAAGTAACATAACTTGCAATAACGTTCAACGTAAATTTTATACTAATTTTATGCATAACAATGTTTTAAGCGAATTTATGAAGAAAAAGATAGCTTGAAAACTTTCAGTGCATTTAGAGAGTAATATCGGTATAGATTTCACTTCCTTACTTCAATTCTCCAAAGTTTAACTTTGGACCGTAGAAAAATTATCACGAATTTGAATATTTTTATTACATAATATCATTTTTTGTTAACGGAACGAAATTGAAATATTTTACTTTTACATACTGTATACTGCGTTCTAACACGCATATTAAGTACTTAACTTACAATTATAACATTTTTACTTAGTGGCCCATTTTTGGGCTAATCATTAAAAGGAGAAAATGTGAAATAGTATATGTAAGGTATTTTTTAAATATTAGTTATCGTTGTCGATAAACTTTTGTTCAACGATCATAGTTTAACGTGTGTCGGACACGCAACTGCTTACTTCCTTGACGGCTCATTTTATAACGAAGTTCATAGTACACAAAATAATTTTCCTTTTGCCTTTGAACTTTATATAAGTTACCCTGGTTATAAGAACGGCATTTCTTGCTCTATTTCATTGTGTTTTGATACTCAGTTACTAGCTGAGTTATTCTCAAATACCCTTGATAAAATAGGCGTCGCATTACTTTTCAATATAAATAAATAGTAAAGATAAAGAATTGTATCTTCAAGATGACCCCGAATTTGTACCAAATTAGGTTTGCTTAAGTCTTGCTAAGTTTCCCACGCTTCTCCGGCCTATAAGTTCATAATAAACAGTGACGTAAATTGAAGTAAAACCCCGACTGAATATTCAATTGTTACCATCATGACTTGAAAGCTTCTACTACGATAGAAGTTCAAACAGTTAGGAAAAAATTCTAGAGTAGACTTAGGATGGATTCGACCAAACAAGAGTAAATATTAATTTCAGAAAACTTGTCATTTTGACATATTTCCCATACTGAAACTGTCAATGTGCCAGTTATACCAGGAGTTATCCTCGGATAAAGGTTTTGTCAAATCGGGCCTTAGACTGTTATGTTTATGGAATTATCACATTTTTATTACGTCATTTAAGGTCGACGTGCGGGCTTAGTATCTATAAGATCAAAATTAATCGATTGAATTAGTCATTTTGTGGTAGGCGGTGGTACCTGGGTATTTCTCATCGCCACGGTTCTCATCGTCACCTTCGTGGCGAATTTTATTTCTAACTTATTTCAACTTTTTGTAAACAAAAATTGTAGCGCTTGATGTGAAGATTGTATTCTCAGTAAATCAGTCAAATAGTGAGTCTCGTTTGGAANTAACATGAGCACAGGAACCTACTGTTATTCGGCCAATATCAGGGCAAATGAATCCTCGTTCCATCATGTGTTTCTTGGGGCTCCACAGTATGTGTAGCAGCTCGATCAGCTCACTGCCACTTAAGGATGACATATTTGGTCAGATCCCCGCAGCTGAAACAAAGAAATTAATTATGGTATCATTCAAAATTCAATCTTTAAGATATTGAGATGTGATGTCAATTTTTATCTATCAGTAAGAAGTATTTGTATAGAAAAAAATATACACTTTGTTCAAATATATCAAGCCAATGTCTTTAATAAAATATAATGAAAACAATTATAAAAAAAACTTACTTGACGAGGTGAAATCTGTTCCATTATTACATTCTTTTCGAATATGTGATTCTCTTTCCGTGTTAATATGCAGTCTATGGAACGTATTTGTAACAAAGACAATCCATGTTAACTGTGACCAGTGCTAGTGGTTGCTTCTTCATTTGAAATATTATTTGTCCTTGATTGGTGCAGAGCCACACCGTGGCCACGGTCCAACATGAGTGACAACATACACTGCTGTTATCTAAAAAAAAAAGTTTTATTAGGATTATGGTAATCTACGGTACAGGTAGTTGATCAAATACATTGTAAAAGGTATTCAACAAGTCCACACGCTCATTCAATAACTTACCAGCTGAGGAGTCATCCACTGACATTATAACCAACTGAACTTAATAAGCTCTAGGCTATGTCGCCTCCTCTGCATCATGTCAGCTATACAATTGATACCTAACATAGGTTCCTCATGAGATTGAGGAATTGCTAGTTGCATTATCCAAAATCGGGCTGGGGTTAACATTGGGGCTCGGGTCGGAGTCCATACGTAAGCCGTGGTCGGCGTTTAGGCAAGGTTCGATGTCCGAAAGTGAGCCATTGGTCATTGGTTGAGTGACAGGGTCATCGGGAAGGGAAGCATCGAGGACCATGGTCAAAAAAATAAAGACGTCAAAAGGGAAACTTATACAACACTCTTCTGCTTTTATTTTGGAAAAGACTTGGTTTTGAGAACTAAACAACACTCACGATGAAAAATACAAAACAAAGCGAATGACAGATAACAGCTGTGACAATATTTTCAGTGTTGCCATGCTAATAATGTGGTGATGAATAAAAATAATCGATATAAAAATCGATTGTATTTTTTGATGACTCGAAATAAGGTGTACTATAATAAGGTGTATGTGAAATAAGGTTTCATTTAGTTATTTAAATATTTTTGGTAGTGTTATTAGAATATTATGTCATTTTAATGAATACGTATTTAAATAAATAATAATTGTCATAGTCGAACAACAATCGATATGAATCGATTCTTACCGATGAGATTCATTTTGGCAACACTGAAATGAGTGTTAAAGACAGGAAGTTGTAATTATCGGTATCCTTCCGTTTGGCCAAATTACTTTTCGCCAAATTTCACTTCGCAAACAACTTATCGCCAAAGTTTCATTTCCCAAATGAACTTTTAGCAACTGTACTTTTCGCAACTAATTCATTTGGTCAAGACTCGAAATAAGGTGTATAATAAGGTGTGTGTGATATAAGGTTTCATTTAGTTATTTCAATATTTTTGGTTGTGTTATTAGAATATTAAAAAGGTTTTATAAACGTCATTTTAATGAATACGTATTTAAAAAAATAATAATTGTCATAGTCGAACAACAATCGATAATGAATCGATTCTTACCGATAAGATTCATTTTGGCAACACTGAAATGAGTGTTAAAGACAGGAAGTTGTAATTATCACATAAAGTACTATTTAAATTGGATTTTTATAAAGACAAATTGATACAAAGTTACACTAAGTGAATACTTTAAAAATTAGTTAAAATTTTTTGGCAAATTCATATTTTCATTAGCAGCTTGTCCACGCCAGGCCAGAAATGAACATTGTCCTTTGAATTTAATGGTTCAAGTCGAATACTACACAAATAAGTCTAACATGTTAAGTTTTCAATGGCAAAGTTTCAATTAAATTGTTTAAATTTTAGAGGTAGAAACTATTGTTCAAGCAAGCGACGGTATGTCTATGGACAATCACAAAAGGCTACGTATTTTTTTCGCGGAGCGACGATCGACCTATCTCACCTCCCCAATGGTCGAAGCGTGACTGACGTTAACCGAATAGAACACTGTGATTGGTTCCTGGTGTTCGGTTTAACGGCAATCTTGTATTATTACTCAAAATTTTAGGTACCTAAAATCGTGTGACCAACGTATTTCGCTTTCTCAATTCAAAATAATTATAAGAAGATATTTTTTTAACCATTGTGTGGAAAGTATATTTAATTACGATGATTTTAGTATATGCTACACACAAATTGAATGAAAATTGTGAATGCAGTAACCAAATGTTTCATTGCAACCGAAGGTGTGACACGATGAGAACGCGAAAAATGACCCCGTTTTTTATCGTTTCATGTGATTTTTTCGTATTATTTTTGCTTCTATTACGATAAAATTTATTTTGTATGTAGCTAAATAGATATTTTATCATCTGATTTCAAAGGTATTGTTCTAACTTATACCGTTTATGAATTATTATTGTGTGACCATCAAATTTGTGTGTAAATGAGAAGTACCCACCTATTTGTAACTAGTCTAATAATTTGGTCTAGAAAATAAATATTACCTACTAAAGTATTGTAGGTAAGTTATGCCAGTCGCAAGGATATAAAATAAGAAAAAACCGGCCAAGTGCGTGTCGGACTCACGCACAAAGGGTTCCGTACCATTGATTTATGAAATTAAAATCATTTTTTTTAATTTAAGTTATTTGTATGAAAGATTACGCGGTAATAAGCGGTTTACGATTTACGAGGTATTAAAAAAAACTACTTACTAGATCTCGTTCAGAATAATTTTCGTTGGTAGTTTTTTATAGTAATGTACATCATATGTTTTTTTTAGATTTTTAATTTTCTTATTTTAGAAGTTAGAGGGGGGGGGCAACTTTTTTCCACTTTGGAAGCGTCTGTCACGCAAACTATTCGATTTAGAAAAAAATATTTTAGAAACATCGATATCATTTTTGAAGACCTATCCATAGATACCCCACACGTATGTGTTTGATGAAAAAAAAATTTTTGAGTTTCAGTTCTAAGTATGGGGATTGGGGAGCCCCCAATATTTTTTTTTTATTTTTGCATCAAAATCTTAATGCGGTTTACAGAATACATCTACTTACCAAGTTTCAACAGTATAGCTCTTATAGTTTCGGAAAAAAATGTCTGTGACATACGGACGGACGGACAGACAGACATGACGAATCTATAAGGGTTCCGTTTTTTGCCATTTGGCTACGGAACCCTAAAAAGTTAACTAACAGTATTGGACTTGGAATGTTCACAATCTAAAATTCAGAACAAGTTATTATTAGTAAGTGGGCTCATAAAAAGAACTTTTTTTTATTCATAACAAGGCATATATTGGACACAATCGCTACTGGTGTTAAGTGGGATGCAGTCTAGGATGATATATATCTGCCCTATTCACTCTCGCCTTGAAAAGGCCCGGATTATAGTCTTCGGGAAAGACAGCAGCAGGCAGCGAATTCCGGCCCCTAGTTGTTTGCATTATAAAAGAGTCATCAAACATTATTTGAGTTTCTTCCAATCTTACACTATGATATGACTTACCAACAGGTACGATTTCCCCGTTCTCTCTGCTCCAATAGCTGACGGGCTTGGGGTAGGCTTCTGTTTCACACTCCAGAACCAGGTCGGACCCTAATGCTGCGCCCACCAGCTGGTTCCTTATCGTTATCACTGGGGGAACTGTGGGACAACACACCAAAATTATTGTCAACACACCACCAATGTCGCCTCGACCAGTGTCGTCGCTACTACATTCGATGCATTCTAAAGAAAAGATGTCGTATCATCAAGTCTACAAAATAGCTTTGGTGTTTTTCAAATTGCCAATAATGTAATAATAGTCACCGAGCCCACTATCCCAATGAGGCAGTGAGTGCAATTTTGCCAATAAAAACTGGAAAGTGTTGTACAGAATTCTAAAATTGTTAGCATTAACCATCACTCGGACTAACAAAAAGGATATTCTTTTTTGAAGCTCAAACTTGTGTAAAAGTCTCAAAGCACAGGAGCAGAATGCAACTTAGTACCTAACATGAGAAAAAACTTTTACGTCATAAGGTATCAAAGCGTGAACTTTTTGTTTTACCGTGTGAACGAAACGAGAAAAACCCAAAGGCTGTTGTTCTCTAAAAGCATGGCGTAATAATTTATTTACTCACATTCAACTGTGAGCATAATTCTTTTGCTCAATGTGGGAGGGACGCCGTTGGAGGCGATGCAGAGATACGCCCCCGCGTGTTGGCGGCTCACCCTGCTTATGTTTAGGACCGGCCCTTCTAATGATGACACTGAAAACAAAAACGACATAAAACATCCAGAGCAACGTCTCTTCTCTGAGATTTAATTGGTGATATTATTCTGCCTCGGTATCGAACATAGGGACGTTATGATACTGGCAGGAATACCAAACATTAAAATTTGATAATACTACGATAATAAACAGGAGTCATTCGATGTTCAGAAAATTCATACAATACTCGTTGTCTCGTACAAACCTGAAAACTTGCCAACTTATAGTAACTTTTAACATTAAATCTTGGCACAAAAACACCTTTTAATTCCTTAGAGAAACTACATTACCGATAGCCTTTTCCTTTCCGTTTTTGGGTTGAATGATCACATACACATATTATGCACTAGCGGCCGCCCGCGACTTCGTACGCGTGGATCCCATTTTGCCCCCTTCATCTATCTTACGCGGTTTAGATTTTCAACCGACTTCAAAAAAGGAGGAGGTTCTCAATTCGACCCGTATGTTTTTTTTTCTATGTTTGTTACGCGATAACTCCGCCAATTATGAACCGATTTGAACAAATCTTTTTTCGGCGTATAGGTAATACCTCAAGGGTGGTCCCATTTAAATTTAATAATAAAAAAAACAACCCCCAAGGGTGGAAAATTGGGGATGAACTTTTTTATACGCAATATCTCCGCCGATTATAAACCAATTTGAACGATTATTTTTTTGTTGAATAGGTATTATCAAAAGGGTGGTTTCATGCGAATTTGAAGAAAATATTTCACCCCCAAGGTTGGAAAATTGAACTTTTTTATACGCAATATCTCCGCCGATTATGAACCAATTTTTTTTGGTCTCAGTGTACTGCCTTCATTCAGTGGTAACATCAAGGTAATAGTTAGTTAACTAAAAAGCAAGAAATAAGTAAAATTTTATAAAAAAAAATAAAACCGACTCAGTGCAGGCAAACTTTACATGTTTCATAATCTTGGCACCGACTCCAGAAGTATCAATCATGGTATACCATAAATATTAATAATTCGTCCTAATAAATAAGTAGGTAATTAGTAATTATTTTTCTACGTTTTAGTGTAGGTTTTTTGGAGTCGGTTTTTATTTTCATACAAATGGTTTTTCCCGCTAATTCCCGTTCCCGTTGGAATTTTGCAATATCCTGTTGTAACTAAGCATTAAGTTTACTAAGGAACCTGCATGACAAATTTCAAGCGTTTAACTTAAGCGGTTTAAATTTTTCATACAAATGTTTTTTCCCGCTAACTCCCGTTCCCGTGGGAATTTTGCAATATCCTGTTGTAACTAAGGTTTAAGTTTACTAAGGTACCTGCATGCCAGATTTCAAGCGTCTAACTTAAGCGGTTTAGATTTTTCATACAAAAGGATTTTCCCGCTAATTCCCGATCCCGTGGGAATTTTGCAATATCCTGTTGTAACTAAGCTTTAAGTTTACTAAGGTACCTGCATGCTAAATTTCAAGCGTCTGACTTAAGCGGTTTAGATTTTTCATACAAAAGGATTTTCCCGCTTATTCCCGTTCCCTTGGGAATTCCTAAGTATACTATAACCTGCCCAGGAGTATCAAGAATAATTGTACTAAGTTTCGTTAAAATCCGTCGAGTAGTTTTAGTTTCTATAAGGAACATACAGACAGACAGACAGACAAAAATTTTACTGATTGCATTTTTGGCATCAGTATCGATCACTAATCACCCCCTGATAGTTATTTTGAAAATATATTTAATGTACAGAATTGACCTCTCTACAGATTTATTATAAGTATAGATGTTGGTAATATAATATGAGAATGATAACGAAAAACTTATAACTGATTTCACAACTGTTTAACATTGTCTTTCTGAATAAATATATTATGAAGATTGTCCTAATAAGACGACACAATTATTCTCGTAGACGTATTTCCCTCTTTCAGCATTTACACTCATACTTTGAATAAAACGAATAACTACGTTTTGACATGTTTACTTCTTTTATGGATATTTATACAAAGAAATCTGTCTTTACAAAAGCGCTAGAAATAAGTAGCTTTTGGTGTTTATTGAGTAACATATTTCAATCGAAATGAGACGGAGAGTTTTCCTTGATAATAAAAAAACACTGTTTCTATTTTTATAGTTGTAAGTAAATTTATTTGTTAGCAGCATACGTGTATCGATTATTTTGTGGGTATTTAATAATTCATATCGAATGCGAACACAAAAAATAACGAATGTTACTCGTATAAATTATTCATTAATGATGTAGGTACTTAGTTGCTCCATTCAATGGCTGTTTTATTTTCAGATTTACAGCCATACGGTTTTGGTCGTATTTAATTAAGATAACTAGATAATAAGTAACTTGTCCTGACTTCCATCTACTTAAATCTACAAGTATACCTCTATCTATATTTTTTTTTTACCTACTCCTATACTTATTGATTGTTCGTATTGTTTGAAAGTTTTGTATCGCTTTAAACTACATATTAAATCACTCATATACAAGTAAGTCTGCACAAAAAAAAATCAGTTCATTCACGGTGATATTTAATCCGATGCATTTCGTGTATTCTGTCTGTGTCTTTATCAAAGCTTTGCATCTGCTTAATTCAGCTTTAATAACTTTCAGTTCGTTCGTAATATAATACCCGTAACATGATAATTTTATTACACAACTCAGATACACGAGTAGCTCACTATACAGGGTCTCTACTAATTCGTACACATTTGAATAATAAATTATACACTGAATTAAAGATAAAATATAGCTACAGGCAAGTCTTAATTGATACAAAAAATAACGTTTTTGTCAATTCCGCTTCCTTAGAAAAGTATTTTTGTTCAATATATCGTACATGTATAAATATTTAGGCTGCGCTTGAGCCTGACTGATATCATTATCACCAAAGCTTCAAATTTCCTATCTGTACGTGGTCTGAGGATAAACTGAAAAGATCATCAACCTTCTGTTTGGTAAAAGTCATTAACTTACTAAGTTGATTAGAAGTTTTTACCTTGAATCCCATCTGCTATAGTGATTGGTTTGGAATGTTCTCGTCTCCACGTGATCTGAGGATGAGGGGAGCCGGTGGCAGCACACGTGAGGCTCACGGAGGCTCCTTCCCTCACTGTCTGGTCAGTACTCGTACCGCGGTCCAATATGTCGGGAGGCACTATGATAGAAACAAATACGTTACTACAACCCACACTACATAACTGCGCACTGGGAGATGTACCGGTGAGTGCGAGGGAGAGTTGCTTTTCAGCGAGGTGCGCAATTAACTTGACCGGGTTGTATAAGATTATTTTTTTGTTACCACGGCACACGATCACAGGTAATTGTATTGTAGACGAAGCAATAGTATACTTACAAAAAGTGAAGCTACGGTGCGCAGCCTCTTACCAGTAGTTTTTCATTAGGCAAAGGAGTGCGTACTTAACTTTAACATAGAGGACTTACTTTGGAACGTTCAAAGAATTTAGAAACAAAGAGAAATTGGCAAATTAAAACTTTTGGTGGCGGAACAAACGAATACCGTATAAAGGAAACTAACTACTTTAATGTTGGAACAGGCAAATTTTACTCAAAGGAAATTGTATCATATTCAGAAATGGGAAAACTGCATTCATAATTTCTTACAAAGACTGACTACGAATAGTCGTAGTCAGTAGCCATTGCACAGTCTTTTATTTTGCCTTAGAAGCGGACATCCCTGTTTTATTAATTCAATCGTTAGATATTACTATTATGTAAGAAATTGATGAAGGAACTAGTAGTTGTATTTGCTTAGTTTTGAAGAAATATTCGATTTTGTGATTTTATAAAAAAAAACAGTTTTAGAAGCATATTTTCTAAAAAAATTACATTAAGTCAGAATTTTGTAAATAAATTTACCTATCACTATAACCTCTACCTTTATGCAAAAATAAATGGTTATTGCTGCAGTAATTTAGGAATTATTTAATAATTTATGATTTTCAGAAAACATTTTGTTCTCCGTTGTCCTAGAAAATTGGTATCTATTCTTACTTTATATTGATGCATGATATAATTATCTATAATACCTGAAAATATTACTTGCCTGTCCCGTGGGATTTCGATGATACGACTAGAAAAATTTGTCAAAAGTAATATTGACTAAGGCCATCGGTCAAAACCACTTTTAACTGAAATTTGCAGTCAAAAGTGGTTTTGATCGATTATGAGTTTTGACTGCAACATATATATCGATGTTTCGAAAACGATAGATTTCCAATAAGCCGCCACAGGGCCAGCTCTATAATTATCAAACTCGACCAGACAAATTAATAATGGTAAAAGCAATGAATTTCAATAGTTATCTAACAAAGGCATTAAAACCGTATTGTTACGGACGGCATTTAAAAAACTAAAAAATATTCAGATGACAACCCTATTTACATATAAATTTTCTAAACTCATAGAAATTAAAATATCTTCGAACTCCCACGGGATAGGCAAGTAATATTTTCAGGTATTATAGATAATTATATCATGCATCAATATAAAGTAAGAATAGATGCCAATTTTCTAGGACAACGGAGAAAAAAATGTTTTCTGAAAATCATAAATTCCTAAATTACTGCAGCAATAACCATTTATTTTTGCATAAAGGTAGATGTTATAGTGATAGGTAAATTTATTTACTAAATTCTGACTTAATGTAATTTTTTTAGAAAATATGCTTCTAAAACTGTTTTTCTTATAAAATCACAAAATCGAATATTTCTTCGAAACTAAGCAAATACAACTAGTAGTTCCTTCATCAATTTTATACATAATAGTAATATCTAACCATTGAATTAATAAAACAGGGATGTCCGCTTCTAAGCCAAAATAAAACACTGTGCATTGGTATAGACCAGGGGTGGCCAACCAGTCGATCGCGAATATTAGTCCAGTCAATCGTGGCAAGGCGAAAAATACTACATGATTGTGTACTAAACTCTGCTGTTTCATTTAAGATTTCAAGAATTATGTAAGTGATAGATCGCCCAGGGTTTCGTTAGTAAACAGTAGATCTTATGTCTAATCAAGTTGGCCACCCCTGGTATAGACCAATGTCTGCAAAATCTCTGCAAAACTATTGTATACAAAAACGTTTTACCTAAATCAAATTACCTGAACATCATTATTTAAGGCTTCCATTATAAAAAATAAAAAATATCTCAGAATTACTGAAAAACCTACTGGGCGCCAAAATATAGAGTAAACATCATTACATAACGACTATAGTATTTTTCCACTCGGTAAGTGTTAATACTCTTGAGGATTTTATCTAGAAAAGGTAGAAATTGTGGCCATAAAATAATTTCTTCATTTATAAGCAGGCGTAGATGAATAGTACTGATAGGAACTCGTTTGTGTCAAAAGATTCTTCAAGGAAACTCTACCAAGAATCGTGATCTGAAACTATTGAATAAATTCATATAAAACACCTATACATAAAAGTAGAGACGAATAAGTTTTTAAACGATTTTAACTGTTCCTATTTAATTTATCATGGAAACACTATTAACTACTAGAATAAGTTTATTGACTTAACTAGAATGTAGTTAGGTAGGCACTGTAGCACTCAAAGTTGAATTCGATTTCAAAATAGCCGTCTTGAGAGAAACATCAACGCAAAATGAGTCTGTTGTAATTACTTGAAGGTTTATAAATACGTGACTCATAACTCACAAAATTACTCTCGGCCTTAAGACGCTCCGCTTAAACGTATACAACGCAAGGATCGTGAGTGTGTCCTCTTAAAGCTAACTTTTAGGCGCTGCGCAAAAGTAGAACACTTTAATTACCGACTAGGCATATCATCATAGGAGAATATTGCAGTGTAAAAAACGACGAGCCCTTAACACCTTTGCTGCGGCACTAACTCTCTAATACTTTCCGTTCCTTCGGTACAAGGTCAGTAAACCTGGTATTAAAACTTACGTTGTGGCGGCACAAGGCTTAAAGACCTTGTAATATTTAAGATACATTAATTTTATTTTTGGCTTCATTTTAATAGATATTGTGTTTTTTTTCTTTGAAAATTAATAATAATGCATTTATTGACATACACCTGAAGGCGTTCGTGAATAACTTGTTTAGTATAAAAATTATAGCTATATTCAAAATACAAGGCTTATGCACCCTGTGCCGCACTGAAGTAGGGAAGTCTGGTGGGTATTCTAGGGATGTGAAATACAAATATCGATAGTTTAAATTAAGTTTTAATAAAAATTTAAAAAAGTAACAAACAAAGATGTTTTAATAATTTAGTCTAAATATTTTACAAATAAGACATACGTGCATAAATACTTAAATAAGCTATATTTAAAGAAAACATATTATTTAATAAGATTTAGTTACAACTTCAAATGTTTGTCACGAAAAACATTATTTAAATTAGCAATAAATCGTGTAGCAAATTAAATTATAATCAATTTGCAGTTTTGATTTTGTTTGTTTCTCTTGACGCCATGTCGATATGTGCGTTATAAAAACCCTCGCCATGTTGCGGAAAACTAATGGTACTAATTTCTTTTAATGGCAACAGTAACTGAAAACTTCATTGATATGTCACCTTGCATGTCAGTCTATTGCTGTCAAAGTGTAAACAAACTTTATTTTAAATGTGCGCAATTGATTTTGTGAATTAAATTGCTAAAATCTTTTTATAGTCGTGAAAGAAAAGTGGTTCACAATGTGTTAAAGTATTTGTCGAAGAGAAATACTAAGGGTTCGGACAATATTTTCATTGAATAATGTTTCCGACAAAGGTTGTCAAATTGACTGACATGTTTATCGTATAGTACAGTCCACTATGAAAATTAGCTGTGGTTTGTTTCAACTACCTATTTTAAAGATTTTTGTCACTTTCTAAGTGTTGAATTTTATGGAATTGGGAAAGAAGTACCGAGTTTGAAGCGTTCATGAGCAGACATTGCAGTGGAATATTCAAGTTCTGAATTTGATTATTGATGAATAATAAAATAAATCCTACTAGCTCGATTGATGGTTTCATTTAATTTATTTAAACCAGGTTACCTACACAATCTTTATTCGTTAATTTATGAAAATATCAAATTAGGACGTAATCCTGAATCCTGATACATAAAGTTAGGCTATTAATTTAACACAGGTACGACTGTACTCAGTGTTGCACTATCAAATGCGATTGACGCGCCTCTATGCCAGGGTTTTTATGTTCCTGGTCAGGCTATAACTTAATTTTAAGTGATTAATTGCATGTAAACACATAATTTAGTAGCAAGCTGCAAATTAAATTGACTTTTACATGCAATTTAATCACTTAAAATTAAGTTACAATAATTTAGTTACCTACTTAATACCTACGTGTAAATCAGCCTTTAGAATGGTGCAACGATATTGGGACATTCTGTTCTTTAAATAGACTTAAATGTAACTACTTTCTCATACAGTCTATTTTTAGCTTCGTCTGATGCTCTTGATCTATAAAATGATTGCTGTCACTAGAGCATATTATTACGTTCGCGCTCTCTTGCTTGATTTCGACTATACGATAATTTTGTGGGACAGTCGGCGTCAATAGATCGTGACACACAAAGTAGCCAAAAAGTTCGCAGCACGCCTCTAAAATTGAAATAAGGTTGTGTTGTCTCATAAATGACGCTGAATGTACTTGGTCTGTCACAGAAAAACGAACCTATTTCCTTTCCCGGGACCCAAACTATCTCTATGCCAACATCAAAATCGGTTCAGTGGTTTAGGCGTGAGAGCAAGACAGACAGACAGAGTTAATTTCGCAATATTAGTATAGATTTTTGCACTTTGTTGTGAACATTTAACATTAAAATCTATATTTTTTGCAACAGACAACAATTATCAAGCAGTCTCTAAAATGACGTGATTTTTATTTATTATCATTATCAGATCGCACTTTTTTACGATTGGGTTCAATCAAGGTTATACATTGAGCAACTGCTCTAAGAATTACCAAACTATTTCTTCCTACTTTAATTTTGTCTTTTCCTTTGGAAGTTGGGTTCAGCTTCTTTAACATATTATTGTGACACAGCGTTTTTGCATACTTCGGTAATTTGCGGTTATTTGACAAGATGTGATGTTATGAGATCGCTAATCTGTAGCCGTCTGTTATTATTACCCCTATAAATCATGTTTTACATA